AGGATCGTGAATTCGCCGCACCGCCACGCGCGGCGATGGGCGCGGCGTTTTCATAACTCGTTTTAACCTGTCGAATGGAGCACCGGACTTCATGTAGACCCCGTCATCGTAGACGAGGGTGGTATACGGTCAGTGGAGGGCTACAGCACGTACTTAGCCTAGGAAATTTTTCTTGATAGTTGACTTTCCTATTTCTTTGGCTATCCAGAACTTTGGGAGAATCCCTCTGGGGAGGGGGAGGGGTCGTTATTGCTTCTCGCCTCACGAAATAGATCGTATCCGCCCTCGAGAGGATGTTCATCTTTCGGCGTTTTCCGTTTTTCCCATTTCCCGTGCTGCAGACCCCTCCCCCCACCCCCACACTGTTTTCCACAGTCGAGAAAAGCAGTTGAATAGTGACGATCTCTCCCCTCCCCTTCCCAATAGACGTTAAATTTTGGGGGAAAATAGAAGTTTTTTCTTTAGAAAAGAATTTCTTCAGAAAAGAAAAAAGGGAGGATTGAAAAAGGAGAGGAAGATGGTAGCTTGTGGAAGGGAGGCCGAGGGAATCGGGTTTGGGAGTATCGTATCTCGCAAAAATCCTCCGGGAGAGGAAGAACGCCCCTGCCGTAGTGGAGAACAGGGCACGCCATCGCGTTGTGATCATTTCCTGAAAAATACGACCCCCCCTAATTCCATCCTCAAATACGACCCCCTCCCCATGCTACCTACCACTTTCCTAGATTTTCCCAACTTCCTACCACTTTTTCCATTTTTTCCCGAAAAATTTCCAGTTTTTCAGCCAAGAATTTTCCGTCGAGCGGAGGGGGTATATACTCAATGTGGAGAAAATTTCTCAGATTTTCCCTTCCGTTCTACCAGTTCAGGAATTACCTCCTGCCAGTTTTTCCGAAATTTCCCGAAAAATTTCTGTTTTTTTCCCCAAAATTTTGCTGTCGAGGAGGGGGGGGGGTCGTCAGGATTTAACTATCATTTTCAACTATCGGAAATAGTAGTTGTATAGATCTTTGGCAGTCCCTCTCCCAACAACGACCAAATACGACCCCTCCCCTCCCTTTATAGCGTCCGTGAAACAAGAGAAATCAACTATCAAAAAAATTTTTCTCAGACCAAATACGACCCCCCCTCCCTCGCGGTCAAATACGACCCCCTCCCGCTGTGATCATTACAACGATGGCGTGCCCTGGTGGAGAAACGAACCACTCCAAACGTTTTGAACACCCCAAAATAAGTATTAATATCTTAGTATTTTGTTAGTATTTTAACTGTAAGCTATAGTGACCCCCCACTCTCTTTCAATTTTTTCTTACCGTTGTTCACGTGGATTTATCTCTGATGTGTACAATTTGAAGTTTGATTTGACCTTGATTTTTAAAATGGATATTGAAGGGCACGACCTTGGCTAACCTATCGACCACGAAGAACATCGATGTCAACAAGATGGCGAAGTGTACACTTCGACAAATATACCACAGCGGTAAGTAAAATCATTTTCTTGCGGGAACATCTGCCCCTTACCCCGTGGGATGCGCCCTGCTTTAAGGAACAAGGAGGAGCTGTGGTGGGAGCTACACTAGAATACCCTTTACAGTTCCAATCTAGCAACAGAACCTAGCCAGTTTTTTCCCGATTTTTTTTCTCTCCGAAGGCAGATATGGCCAAGAGTTCGTCTCCAGAGATAGTTTGACCGGCCCCAAAGCAATTTCGATGGGCGTTCCAATTAAGGGAAACACAGCAAGCAGTACATTTCATGGTTGCCTAGTTGTTGGTAGTGATCCTTCCTTTTGCTAAGGCTCAGCCCTAGCATAAGACGGGATCACGGCGCAGTTGGCCGACGGGGAGAGGGGACATTTTGCACTTTCGTTGCTTCACTAGTTC